TTTTTTTTTTTTTTTTTTTAATCCCCAAGGCAATGAATCATGATTTGGGATGGGTGTGAAAGATACCTTTCTTTTGCAAACTGGGTGAAGGGTGTGTGGGAAAGAGTATGTGGAAAAGCAGAAGTAGCTTCACACACTTACAGAGGGCATGTCCTTAGGCAGCACAATACAATGGAAGCCCCTGCGTGGAAGTTGACAGTTGGGAGCTTGATTCCCTTAAAGCTATCATCGCCAACGTACCTGCGAGAACACCAGCTATCCCCGTGGGTGCACACACTCCAGAAAGGCGCTGGTCAGTGAGTAAAGCAATCCATATGTAGGACAGTAGGGGGTGGTGGAGACTCTAGAACAAAGTGCTGCGTGTTTCTTGTTTCATTATTGAGTAAAATTCTATTGACCCATTTATTTATTTATTTTTTACATTTATTTATTTTTTGAGAGACAGCCTGAGCAGGGGAGGGGCAGAAAGACAGGGAGACACAGAATCTGAAGCAGACTCCAGGCTCTGAGCCGTCAGCACAGAGCCTGATGCGGGGCTCAAACTCAGGAGCTGCGAGATCATGACCTGAGCGGAAGTCGGACACTCAACTGACTGAGTCACCCAGATGCCCCTCTGTGGATCCATTTCTTGATTTCTGCAACTACAATTTTTAGCAGGCTTGTGTTTTGCTTCTAATGTGAACTAGTGAAATTCCAAAGCCTGACCTTAAAATGGAAGTCTTCATTATTCATAAAAGTACATCTAGAATCACTGAAGATGTTCCCTCTCCTTTACAGGTAGAGGGAGAGAGAACATTTTGCATCATAAACAGCTCAGTTTGATACGGTGTTAAAGGACATTCGCAGGAATATCAAGCTCGTTCTCTTGTCAAAATGGAGACGTGTGCATATTTTTTACTGTTACCAACTTGTTTTGTTCTCCATTAACTATGTCCCAAGGGTGCCTGGGTAGCTTAGTTGGTTAAGTGTCCAGCTCTTGATTTCTGCTCAGGTCATGATCTCAAGGTTCATGAGTTCGAGTCCCACATCGGGCTCCACGCTGATAGCGAGAAGCCTGCTTGAGATTCTCTCTCTCCCTGTTTCTCTGCCCCTCCCCTGCTTGTACTCATAAATAAATAAGTAAATACATACATACATACATACATACATACATAAATAGTCCTTAGAAGTGTTATTGGGACAAATGGGTCTTTTAAGACTCCAAAGACTATAAATTTTGCAATGGCATACAAAATACTCAGACTGGACTCTGGGAACAGATGCTGGACAGAGTTTGGGGTGCAAGATGTTTATTAAGGATGAGCTCCTGTGAAAGGAAGAATGAAGAGGCAGGACTGGGCAGAGGAAGAAATCAGACTGCAATGAAAGCTTGATAGAGCCTAGACCAACCCACTGAGGAGCTCTGGAATAAGTACTGCTCACAAGCCTGTCCTGCTTTGGGCTGAAATGGCCTGTTTTGTTCAGGCAGGAGATGCTGGATGTTCCAGGAAGGGTAGGACTGTGGGGGGGGGGGGGGGGGGGGGGGGTCTCAGCAGGGGACAATTTGCCTTCTGCTGCGTTTTACATTCGTTTCCCTTCTCTGCCTTTGGGCCCCTCTCCCCAGTTGGATCCAATATTTTCTGTGTGTTTCCAGCACTGGATGGAATAAAAATAGAGTGAGCCCTTAGATAGGGGCAAGTGCTAGGGTCAGGGCACCCAACCCCCATAGGGAAATTGGAGACCTGGGCACCCACCTGGAGAAAGTATTGGGTGGTATCAGGCCTTGACCAGACCCAGCACTATGGCTTGGGGAACAGACAGGTAGGTGTCAATTTGGAGCACCCCAAGAACTATTCCTGTCATAGCTATTGACCAGAAATAAGGCTAGACTGAAGTGCAAATTGTTCAAATGTTAGACTAGGCAGTTAGGTTCTAACAGGATACCTGGAGGCCAGCAAAGAGGAAGTCATGGTCAGCGTTTGGGAAGGCCAGAGGCCTGTCCTCACAGCACTCCTTAAGAAGCCACCAGACAGGCCCAACAAGGCAGGTGCCAAGACAGGAAACCCCTGGCCAAATAAGGAAGAAGAGAGAAAACCTACCAATTCCACTCCAAATAATGAATAAACCACACCCTTGTTAATAGCTGTTGATAAAAATAGAAACCTGAACCGTGGGAAGTTCTCTCTCTCCCTCCCACTCTCACCTCAAGAGTCTACTTTTGTTCACGTTTAGGAGTGAATGGTCAAAGAATCCTTGAGACATCTTTGGTGCAAAAAGGTGGTTTTATTATGGTACAGGTACAGGGCCCATGGCAGAAAGAGCTGCACTGGGGTCGTGAGGAGTTGCTTTCAAGTTGGGAGAGGGTTAGGGATAGCATAAATCTCTGAGGAATTTGGAAGCAAGGTTTCCAGGACCTTGAGGGCTAGCTGCTGTTAGGAAAAGGTCATTTATTACTGTCTAGTAAAAACTCAGTCATGAGACCCTTCAGATGTGTATCAGGGAGCCATATGCTTGGAGGATGATTGCTAACATATGTCTTGGGGGGTGGGGGGCAGAGAGAAAGGAAATTTCCAAAGGAATTTTTACAGGACACTGGAGGTCGGACTAACATCAGGCTAAAGTTGCCCTTGGTCTCTAGCAAAGTATTAACATCAAGGCAGCTAAGCTCCTTGAGGAAGGTCACTCTGCCTGTCTCAAGTACTTGTCAATGGGCTGTAAGTTGCAAGAAAGTTTAATTTTTTTTCTTTTGCCTTGTTCTCTACATCACTTTTACTTTAATAAACTTTCCTGCTTGTATCACTCATTCACTGTGATGTGTCTGTGCTCGAATTCTTTCTTGAGACAACCTTTGGTGACATCTTTGGGAGAGGCTGGGTCAAGGCCTCAGGATCCAGGGTTCTCCCCAGCTCACCCAGCAACACAAGAAATTAACTTAATCAAACCAATTATTTAAGCAGTACAAGTGATTAAAAATTGTGACAAAGACACAAGCATGGAAAAATCTGGAGAGGAAGCACAAAAGAGGAGAGTGGGGAAGGACAAGGCTCTTCGTGATGCTTTACTAATGACTATCCCCATTCCAACTTCGCCCCAGGCCTTAGTGTCTTTCTGCCATCTTCTTCCCCTAGGGAGCTCTTTCCCTGAAGTTCTATCCACCCTGTGAGGGCTGGCAGAGAGCTCTCTCTGTGAATGTCACTTCTACTTCACTTCCCAATTCCTGAGGCTAGAGTGTCCTACAGGTGGTCCCAGAGGGTCTTTGGGTCTCTTCCCTATGGGATCATTTCCTGCCATCCTCGTTTCTGTTTTCTCAGTCCAAGACACCAAATGATATGTGCAAACTCCTACTGTTATATATGACCATTTCTTTTAATACAAATGTTGGGAGTTGTTGCACATCTATTGAGATGATCATTATCATACCTTGTTCTGAAAGGGAGAACCTTCTCATTGTCCACAGACTAGGGAAGCAGTGGGCTAAGGTGCTCTTCTGTCTAGTCTACTTCATGTGCTGAATTGCAGAAGAGTGCTTCTGAGGTTGTGGCTGGTAAAGGTGAGCCCTGCCTTGTTGAGCCAGGACAGAGGCTAGGCAGGGGTGTGTCCTTGTCTGGCAGATAAACTACATTAAAAACCAAAACAAAAAAATCTAGGATTTGTTGCTAGGTTTGTTTATAGCCCTTTTGTTTTTTTCAAACCTTTAGTAAAGTCTTTTCACATGTTCTAGCTTTATTTCAGAGTAGTGGGAAAATATTTTGCCTCCAAACGAGAGCCCGAGTGGGAGAGTAGCATATCTTGAAGCTAGGTAGTAATCAGCCAGAAAATCAGAAGGGGAGAGTACATCTCTGGCAGAGAGAGCTGGGTCTTTCCAATGTCAGCGCCCCTCCCCACCTGCAGCCCCTCCTTGCAGTGCCTAGCTAGGAGGTCTGGGTTGAATTTATTAAGGAAAGCCTCTGTTAACAGTTCTTCTGTCTTCCTGTGGGGTGGAGACTGGGACAGGCAGGCAGGGCCCCGGTGTCTCTGGGCAGAGAGGTTATGAGAAAGCCTCATAGGAAAGGACAAAAATAATGTACCCATCTCTCCTGGGGAGGAACGGCCCTGTGGCTCTGCCAGCTGTGTGGGTGCATCCCCTGCTAGTGTGAAGAGAAAAGCCACCAAACAACCACGCTGACTCCAGGGAGGTGTAAGCGCTCCTGCCACAGTCTCTCAGGAGCCATCTGTGAGTTATATTCCCTTCTTTGAGATCTATGCCCTTTTCTCTTCCTGAGATCCATTCTCTCTTTTTCTGCCTCCTTCTCCCTCTCATTCTGTCTTTCTCTGTCTTAATCTCTTGTATACATGTACACACCTTTTCACCCTGTCCCTAGAAATATATTATTGCTCAACCAGCTAGTAGGATAAGCAGGTTAGACTGCATCTGCAAGTTTTTCAAGATTTCTTTAGAGTAGGCTTCACCTCAAATCATCCCTGATTACCCAGATTCCAAGTTAATCTCCACTGAAGTCCATTCATTTGTTTGCTTTATTTGAGTGAGTCAGATTATCATGGGACTCACAGTCCAGTGTCTAAAGTTCCGGCTGTTTGTGCCCCAGTGCTTGCCCGGATAAGAAGAGGGAGGGGCGCCTGGGTGGCGCAGTCGGTTAAGCGTCCGACTTCAGCCAGGTCACGATCTCGCGGTCCGTGAGTTCGAGCCCCGCGTCGGGCTCTGGGCTGATGGCTCAGAGCCTGGAGCCTGTTTCCGATTCTGTGTCTCCCTCTCTCTCTGCCCCTCCCCCGTTCATGCTCTGTCTCTCTCTGTCCCAAAAATAAATAAACATTGAAAAAAAAATTAAAAAAAAAAAAAAAAAAAAAAAAAAGAAGAGGGAGGGGCTGTCTAGACCCGTGGGCACCCACTGGGCCGCTACTGCTGCCCTCCCTCTAGGGACTTCTGGTGTATCCTTTCTTGCGGCTGTTCTGGTTCCTGACATTTCAGCTCTAAATGTCTTCTAAGTATCTATCTTCTTGAAGGTAGGAAGTTACATTTTTCTTAGGACCAGAGCCCAAAGAGATTTCTAAATTCCACTGTTTCTGTTTTTGCAGTTCCTTATGTATAATCATACAGAGAATGGTGTCCACCAAAAATACCATTCCCACTGCCAGATAGAAAAGGACATGAAACCAAACAGGAGTTGGTGTCTGGAGGCCTGAAAAAGAAAATGACAAAGAGAAGAAATGCTACTTAGAACCCAGAGAGATCTGGCTGAGAGTTCTGCTTGGGGGAGAAAGCTAGCTGACACCTGATATGCCTGTCCCCAGTGGAGGATTGGTCATTTCAGGGGGCAGAGAGGTGCTCTACCTGGGTTATGTGGTGTAACAGACCGTGGGCAGCCTCCTCATTACAGCTTAACTGCTAGGGCCCTGTCAGTGAACTTCCTAGTTTCTGACATAAATGCTATTTCTATGCCATTTAATGCTTGAAATAAATTTGGGTTGAAGATGAACTTTTTTCCCCAGAGTCTTTGTTTTGGAGCTCACAGTGTCTGCACCCCAGCCAGATAGAGACACTTGGGCAAGTATTATGTGCAATCCACAAAATCCCCATCTCTCCAATTTACTATGTGAGCTCCTGGAAATAAGAATTGCACCCCAGTGTCTTCATATCCCCATACCATGACAATAGATGGGAAGAACTCAATATATTGCTGATCAGACTTTTGGGGTTGAGGGCAGGAATGAGGGGGAAGGAAGGAGAGAGGAGAGAAAATAGAAAATAAAGAAGGAAAGAAGGAAATAAGTGAAGAAAGGAAAGGAAATGAAGTTTATGAGAATAGGGAAGTTATGAATCAAGAGTGGAGGGGTGCCTGGGTGGCTCAATCAGTTAAGTGTCCGACTTCGGCTCAGGGCATGATCTCACAGTCTGTGAGTTCGAGCCCCACCTCAGGCTCTGTGCTGACAGCTCAGAGCCTGGAGTCTGCTTCGGATTCTGTGTCTTCCTCTCTCTCTGCCTGTCCCCTGCTCACACTCTGTCTCTCAAAAATAAACAAACATTAAAAAGAGAGAGAGAGAGAGAGTGGAAAGGCCTGTTCATGGATTTTTCTTGAGTGGGCCATGAAATCCCCTTAAACAGACCTCAGCCCCAAAGGAGAAAAGGGCACATCTTCCTCTGTGCCTGGAAATTCCCCTTATTCTCACTCACCAAGCACTTGAAGTTCCAGCTCAGGGCTGCGCTTGACAATACTGCCATCTTCTGTGGTAGTCTCACACCAGTATAGCCCTGAATCTTCTCTTTTAGCAGTTAGTATCTGGTATCCAGAGGATGTGTTCCTGCTCATCAGGGTCTTGCTGCCCGTGTAGAAGGAGAAGTAAAGTTGCAAACCAGGTCTCTGTAGGAGCAACTTTGTTTCACAGCTCAGGTTGACCAGATGCCCCTCCAGGAGTGGTAATGACAAGGATGCTTTTAGCACTGGGGCCAGAAATAGCTCTAAAGAAAAAGTTGATGAGGACAGGGTTGCCTGCTTCAGTGTCAAGGTTCTTTTTACAGAAGATATACCCCCTTCCTTCTCGGGAACCCTGCTCCTGGAGAATGCATCCATGGACAATTTGTCCCACTTCCAGCAGAAAGGCATTCTTGGGGTTTCCTCAAAGATATACTTACAGTTACCAGCTTCTTCATTTCCTACTGGGGAGAATACCTTCACACGGTCCATGCTTCCCTGAATAGCCATGTTACTGATTATATGACCGTGCCCTTTTGGTAATTGTTGCCCAGGAGTGGACACTGACCCCCACACTAGCCAGTTCAGTGACTCGTTGCTTGTGTTACTGCCTCAAAAGATAATCTGGGAAAATCCTCTCTTTCCCATAGGAATGAATTATTTTTCAGACAGAAAACAGTTGCTAGTTAGTTAAGTGTACTAACATGAAAGAGTTACCATGAAGGCCATGTGCAAGCTGGAACAGAGGAAACTGCTTAGTTAGCAGATAGATGTTCAGAGAGAAGTAAAACCAGAGAGGCTTCAATGCCCCTGCCAGATAGAAAGTATAATCAAGTCATAATGTCTTCATGGCTTCCATTTCTTTTTTTTTTTTTTTAATGTTCATTTGTTTTTGACAGAGAGACAGAGCATGAGCAGGGGAGGGGCAGAGAGAGAGGGGGACACAGAATCTGAAGCAGGCTCCAGGCTCTAAGCTGTCAGCAGAGAGCCGGACGTGGGGCTCGAACTCACAGACCGCGAGATCATGACCTGAGCTGAAGTCAGACGCTCAACCGACTGAGCCACCCAGGCGCCCCATTCATGGCTTCCATTTCTATGGAGATTTTATGAGATTGCTTTGAGTTATTTTCTAATAACTCTCCCACCCATCTGGAGTGAGTCTCTATTCCTTGCACCTGAAACAAAATTGATGAAATAGATCCTTACTATGCCCTGGCCTTCACTTTAGCTCCTGGGATTACGGATGGGGCGCTGTGGTTTACTGGAAAGAGCAACACACAGACCTAGGAGACTTCAGTTCTGGTCCTGGCCCAGCCACTGGTCATTGCATGGCCTTCAGCGAGGCAGTTGCCTCTCTGGAACTTAGTCTCTTCACTCACAAACTGAAGTGATGATTTATGATGGCCCTTAAAACTACAGCTCTATGACTATTCAAACACATACCTTTCACAGTGATAGAGACTCCTGGTGATGTGTAGCGATGCCTTCCCATGCCTGAGCAGTGATAGATGCCATTGTGACTCAGGCTGGTTTTCAGAATGGTGAATTCAGAATTCTGAGCAGAAAACTTAAAGGCCTTGTCATTTTGGTAGAAAACCACATTGTATACCAGCTTATTCTTCCATCCATGACACCTTAAGGTCAGAGGTTCCCCTTCTGTGAAGACTCTGCTTTGGACCTGGAGTAGTAGCCAATCTGGAAAGTGTAGACCCAAAATGTATGTATACAGTGGCAGAGGTACAAGGAGGCTTTCTTATCTTTTTATAACATTCCAACCTTATAACTCTGTTGAATTTGAGGCCTGTTGCCCATTCCTCACCTATCTTTAGCTTTGCTGGGAAGAAAAGTCTTTTCCAGCAGTTGTGCACACAGCCCCTTTTATATTCCCTTTCCAGATTTCAGAAGTTGGTTGGGACAAAAATAACTTACTCTATCTGGTAAGCAGAATTCTAAGATGAGTCTTAGGATGAGTCACACTCTTGTGTAATTCCCTTGAGTGTGGATAGAACCTGTGACTTTCAACAGAACATAACAAAGGTTGTGGGGAGTCTCTTCCATGATGACGTTACATTTTATGACTCTGTCTTAGCTGACTGGACCAAGAAGTTCTCCCACTGGCCTTAAAGAAGTGAGCTGCCATGTTGGGAGAGGGCCATAAGGGTAGGGGCCTGCCTCCAGAGCTGAGATCGGCCTCCACCTGACAGCCAGCAAAAAGATGGGGACATCATGTCTACCACATAAGGAACTGAATTCTGCCAATGACCATGTGAGCTTGGAAGAGTTGCAGGAAGGAACACACCCCAGTCAATACCCTGACTGCAGCCTCTGCAGACCACCCAACCAAGCTGTGCTGGGAGCCCTGACCCATGGAAAGATAATAAATGTATGCTGTTTTAAGCTGCTGTGTTTGTGGTAATTTGTTACACAGCAATGAAAAACTAATATACTCCAAGTCCTGAGCAAGTTATTAATGGGATCCCAGGTGCTAAGACAAACACACAGAACAGCAAACATATCCAGATGAATATATGCTTCTAAATTGATAGAGGACACATACATCTGTGCAGATCAGTGATAGAGCTGGTAAAAACAAGCCCCACATCCAAGGAGCCTTCCCTTGTGATGCACACCTCTACACACAACTAAAGATGCTTCCTTTTTCTTTCCCTGGGGTAGGTGGTGTGGCTAAATGAGGATGAGGTTCTTAAAGGACAAAAGAGAAGGGACAGTAGTGCTTTTTCCCCCTCCAGAACTTACCTAAGAATGAAAGGCAGACACTCCAGTGCTATATGTAGCATGTTTTTATAGTTTTGGATGCTGCCACAGGGTTTCTAAATATAATCAATACTCTTCCCTCCCTTATTTCCGTTCCCGGCAAAATGGTGCTCAAAGACTATACTGCCCAAACACACCGACCCTTTTGCTTTATACATCCACAGATTTTAATATACCTCCATCAGAAACTGTCAAAAATACTAGTAATGATATAAAATATTCGAATGACACAATTAATAGAGTTGACTTTGTGGATTTATATAGAATGCTATAGCTTAGAGAAAATTCGTGTACTTTCCAAACACACATGCAACAGGTGCAAGCATGGACCACATATTAGGCCACAAGCAACTTTCAACAAATACTAAAGACCTGACATCATATTTAACATAAATTCTAACCAAAATGCCATAAAGTTAGAAAACGATAACAGAAGCCACCCTCCTAAAACACTTGTAAATAATTCATAAAGAAAAAGAAAAAAGAATACACGCGTACTAATGAAAATTAAAAATATTTAGCCTTACATGATCATGGGAATATTATATATCAAAATTTGTAGGGTGCAGCTTTTGGCAGACATTACCAATTTCCTACTCAGAAGACATTCTCTCCATCCTCATCGCCTTGGAGTAGGTTGGGAACACTCATTCTAAGCCATATAATTAGGATGTAGGTCCTCGGCCAGCTGTATTTTTGTGATCTCACACACAGATTTAAATGAAGTGACTGCGAGCCTCCACTGCTGATTAACTGTGGCAAAACATTTTTTTAATGTTTATTATTTATTTTTGAGAAAGAGGGACAGAGAGGGCACGAGTGGGGGAGGGGCAGAGAGAGGGAGACAGAGAATCCCAAGCAGGCTCCATGCTGCCAGCTGGAACCCACAAACCATAAGGTCCAGACCTGAGCCGAAATTAAGAGCCGGATGCTTAACCGACTGAGCCACCCAAGTGCCCCTGTGGCAAAACATTTTTAAATAGGGTGTAGTGAGCACCAACCCAAAACCCTGATGTATTGTACTACAGGAAATGTAAGAACTTTTTTCACTGAAAAAAGAAAACAACATAGATAGTGAAAGGACAAGCCATAGAGTGGAAGATATTTGCAACATTTGAAAAAGGATTCACATCCAAAATACAGAGCTCCTACAAGTCCATAAGGAAAGACAACAATAAGGAAAAACTGGCAAAAAACCTTGACAGGTACTTTACAAAAGAGGACATCCAAACAGGCAATAAACATGAAGAATGCTCAATATCATGAGTCACTGGTTTTAACGCAAATTAAAACTATGTGGTAACTGCTGCACATGCAACAGAATGGCTAAAATACACTGCATGTTGATGAGGAGGAGGAGCAACCAGAACTCTCATGCACTGGTGAGGGTGTAATATGCTATAACCACTTTTGAATACTAAAGCTGAATGAATATATGCACATTTTGTGACCTAGCAATTCCACATACGTGTACATATGTGCACCAAAAAACATATATAAAAATGTTCACAGTGAAGGCATCTGGCTGGCTCAGTCAGTGGAGCATGCAACTCTTGACCTCAGGGTTGTATGTTTGAGCCTCATGTTGATGTAGAGATTACTTAAAAAAATAAATGAGATCTTTACTCCAAAAATGCCCACAGTGGTGCTATTTATAAGAAGCCCAAACTGGAAACAACCCAAGAATGCATCAATAGCATGAATTAATATGGAATATTGAATAGTAATGAGAACAAATGAATTGCAACTTTACAACATGTATGAATCTCACAATGAACATGAGAAAAAGCAGCCAAACACAAGAGTACATACCCTACCATATCGTTTTCATTTATACGAAGAAGTTAAAGGACAGGCGAAAACCTATGGTGTTAGAAGTCATCACTGGGGGTAGTGACTAGAAATGGGCAAGAGGGTCTTGGGGCACCTGGGTGGCTCAGTAGGTTAGGCGACCAACTTCAGCTCAGGTCATGATCTCGCAGCTCCTGAGTTTGAGCCCCGCATCAGGCTCTGTGCTGACAGCTCAGAGCCTGGAGCCTGCTTCAGATTCTGTGTCTCCCTCTCTCTGACCCTCCCCCGTTCATGCGCTGTCTCTGTCTCAAAAATAAATAAACATTAAAAAAAATTTTAAAGAAATGGGCAAGAGGGAGTTTCTATGATTTTGGAAATGTTCTATTGTTCTGTGTGCTGTTTATTTGGTGAAAAGTCACTGAGGCGTACACTTAAGGTTTGTTGTATGTGTGTTATACTTCAATAAAAATTTACATTAAAATGTAAGAGATCCATAATATAATAATATATAATACAATGTTAAAAATGTAAAAGCTATTATTCTCAAGAAGTCACCAATGCTGGGGTTTCTGGAGTCTGTGCAGAGGTAAAGAAAAATGGCCTCTTCCCAGCCCTGCTTCATTTTTTGTCACTTGAACCACGAAACACCACTGCTTCTGCTTGAACTACACACAAAGTCTCTTGCTAAAACAGTTCTGTCGGCTTGCCTCACACCTGTAGCCTGAGATCTGATTCCCAGAGTCCAAAGAGACTCATGAGGAACACCTAGCATTTCCTCTCACATTCCCAGTATTTTAAAACACATTTCCTCCAAAGGCAACCTAGTCCACATTAATCTAATTCTGCCCCAAGCATAAAGTTTTACATTATCAATTACACAGAAGTTTTATCTTGATGGTTTTGATTAACGAAAGAACACATTTGAATGATCTGTATTGACAATGAAACATTTTGCCCTAAAGAGTATTGCGGTTTCCATTTCTTAACAAATAGAAACCTTTTACAGATTTAAGTGGGTAGTGGGTTTTTTTTTCCCCCTTCTTCTATCCATTGTTGTTTAAAATGCTTCAAGTCTCACAGTAATTTCATGCCCAGAATATTATCTTACAGATATTCTATGAAATGTGTCCCAGACTATATGTATAGAGATGTGTATTGCAACATTGCTTGTAAAAACAAAAAACTGGAAACACAGAAATTTAGTAAAAGGGAGAATGGCTAAATCAGTTACAGCACAGCCATACTGGCAGACATTTGAAAGTTCGTGGCAGATTTCTATTGATTTAAACAGACCTCCAAGGTATTTTAAGTGATGAAAGCAAGTGATAGGACAGTATATAGAGTAGTCTACCAACCACTTTTTTTTTTAAGTTTATATATATTAACAGTTTTGTTTCTACAGAAGGTGACTGTGGGACTAGGAGTTTGGGATGGGAAAGAGACTTCACTGTTCATCATTGTTCATTTCTCTGAATTCTTATTTACTATGTGCAGGCATAACTTTTTCAACAAAGTTACATAATTTTAAATAATAAAACCTTAGAGTCTAGGTTTTACTGGAGACACCCTGCTCACAGCTGTCCCAGTTGGTGTGCTGTTGGGGCACAGTTTAAGGACCCTAATGTGATTTTCTGAGTGTCTTGACTTAATTTCACCTGGTAGGCGCATAGACCTGAGACTCATACATACTCCAATAAATCAAACACATACATGTGGCATCCAGAAAGAAGAAAACACAAAGGAAGACCTTGTGATTTCCAGCTCTCCTGCTCCATGCCATACTTACCTCTGTGGATTTCCAGCTGTACTGGGTCACTTGGCACTGAGAGACCTGTCTGGCACCTGTATTCACCAGTGTCACTGACACTGGCAGCAGCGATTCTGTATCTGGGGGTCAAGGTCTGAAAGGCTGTGCCATTGAGAAACCACCGTGTAGAGCTGTTCCCAGGCAAATGGGGTCCCTCACACCATAAGGTTATGTTTTCCTCTTGAAATACACTGACCCATGGAGGCTGCAAGGTGATCACTGCCTTTGTAAGGTCTGCTTGGGGATAAACAACAACAACAAACAAGTGGAACAAAAGGAAAGTCTGAACAATTGGTAAGGTTTTATGGATAGCACAAGGACAAAATATGTATTTAGATGAGATGGAAAAATAAGCAAGTGGGATCCTATAAAAGCCAGCCATTGCAAGTGTCCAGACCCCATGCAGAGAGCTCTGTTCATGTTATTAAATCTGCATCTGGCTGTTGGAGATTTGGGGTTCCTGAGAAATAAATGACTAATTTATTAGTAAACTAAGGCAAGCTGATTGGGGCTGGTTCTCTTATACTCTGGGCTATACTGTCTCTGAGGGTTAATCTCAGGCCTTAATTAGCATCTGCATCAGAAACCAAGGCTCAAACTCCTCATTTCAAAGCCATTGGTACCTGTTTGGTTCTCTCTGAGAAGAAACCAAGCACTCAGCTTTTTCCTAAAAGGGACTGGTTTGGGAAAAACCCAGCAGAGCTACTTCTATGTTTTTGCAATTCTGGCCTTTTCCTGTTATTATGTACACACGTAGGCAATTCAGTTCAGAGGTCAAAGCTTTTGCAGAAAATCGTAGAAACCTTAAAACCCAGCATTTTATCAAAATCATACCCTAAATATAGAGGATTTTACATAATTTGTAATTCCCTCTTCTTTCTATCCTCTCCTGATACTCTCTTCTTCAGGATAACAAAACCCATGTGCAGGGATGTGGCAGAGGAAGAGAAATTGAGTTTAAGATTACTCACCCGCTTGCGCACCAGCTGGAACTGTAAGAGACCAAAGAACAGGGACATAAATTGGTCAGCGGGAGATGACAAGGAAGGGAGAATCAAGGAGACAAAACTAACGTAGACTCTGAGGGGCCAGGTTAAGTCTCTTGAGTCTTTCTCTATTCCCTTTCCCCAAATCAGGTGCTAGTGGCATTGAACAGCCTATAGATGGTTATTAATGAGGCTTTATTTTGACATGATGCTTCCAGGCCTAATGTTACCTCAAAGTCTCTCTTCCCATCCTTTTGATATATAATAAGCATGAATAAACCATGGAAGCACAAATACGGTTGTCCCCATACTTATGAGTTCTAGCCTATGATACCAAAGGAAGACAAAAAATCTTGAGTCCCCAAAGCCAGAGCCAGTACCCTTCTAGCTATCCCCTGTAAGCCCAACTTACCCCAAAGAAGCAGAGCCGTCAAGAGCCACATGTTATTTCCAAGCTGATGGGAACAGTGAAATCTGTAACATGCAAGACATTGAAGAGTTTCTGCTGGAGGCTCTGAAGCCAAGATTAGAAAAGAGGAAGGAAACTGCTTCTTCTGACCACTTGCATCACACTCCTTTTCTGGGAAATACATCCTTAATTCTTGAGTCATTCTCTCCTTGTTCTCAAACTTTTTAGCCTATCTCCCTTAGTTTGAAACTCTGGGTTTGGGGTTTATGAAACTCTCGGAATTCAAGGGAAAGACTAAAGTTTTTATTTATTGATATTCTATTTTGATATTTTATTTATTGATATTCTATTCTGACTGTATTCTCCCTTTACTAATTATTTGAATCTAAAATATGGCAAATCCTCATTTCTATTTTTATAAATCTTTATTTATTTTTGAGAGAGAGAGAGAGAGAGAGAGAGAGAGAGACAGAGTGTGAGCCGGGGAGGGTCAGAGAGAGAGGGAAACACAGAATCCCAAGCAGGCTCCAGGCTCTGAGCTGTCAGCACAGAGCCCAATGCGGGGCCCAAACTCAAGAACCATGAGATCATGACCTGAGCTGAAGTCAGATGCTCAACCGACTGAGCCATCCAGGCACCCCAGCAAACCCTCATTTCTAAAATTGCTCCAAAGACTGGCCAGTGCCTCTAAAACTTTATCATTTGAATCCAAATTATTCTATATCGACCTGTATGTGACCCGTGATGAGTAACTCATTTATAAGAGCTCCCCTACTACAATCCAGCCTCTATTCCTCTGGGAATACGTGCAGGATCAATGTCCCATTTTTATTTTTTTAAAGCCACTCCCTGAGAGACATTATGAATTTGGAGTGTTTATCTTGGCTACATCAAAGAAAATTAACTGTTTAATGTAAATGCTGTAGAGAAGAAAAATAACTCACATACATGAATGCAAATGTCCCTAACAGGGGAGCTTCAGAGTATGGGGAGAAGCTCTATGCTATCAAAATGAGTTGGTTCCTAAGGCAGAGTTGTTTAGATATAGAGGGATTTTTAGGTATTCTATTCAGAAAGAAAGAAAACTAAAGAAACTAGAATGCGTCCAATGAGTGCAAACACGGACTTGGGTAGCAATCTCACCAACAGAGAATTAAAATGATGACAAATAATGCTGTAGATTCAATTACTGGCCCCAATTTCTCCCCCTTCCTCAATCAGCACTGCCTCCACAGCCCCATGAGAGGCTAAGGATACTTCTTTGACCTTTGACTTTGGCTCATCCACATGACTTTCGGTGCCTAATGAAATGTGGATAGAAACAGCATTGTGCTCATTCTGAAACCCCCTGTGCTTCTGTGATTGTCACAACGAGAACACATTCTGACTAGCCAGCTATGTTGTGAGGCAGAGCTGTCCTGGCCATCATAGCCTGAAGTAGAGTTCCCCAAACTGGCCTGCAAACTTTGAAAAATAAAGGCATACTATTACTTGCCACTGATTTTTTGAGATTATTATAGAGCAATAGCTGACTGACACAAAAGCAAGGAAGAAAGGTCTAGGAAGGACTCAGGGGGTCCCAGTTCACTGAAACTTACATCCAAAGCCTATATTCATAATTATTACACTATTTTATCTTCAGTTTTCCACTGTGTAGATGTTTCATAATTTCACCACCTCTCTTAATGGGCAGGGAGGTTATTTCCAATGTTTTACTGTTATCACCAGCAATGCAATGAATAGTCTAGTACCTATCTTTTATTATTTTCAGAGGACACATTCCTAGAACCAATATTGCTCAGTCCAAAGAAAAGTACATTTTTTTCTTTAGATAGATGTTGTCTGATTATCTGCTATCATTATCATCATCATTGCATATATTTATAGACTGTTTATTATGTGCCAGCCAAATATGCTTGCTATATCTTTTATTTAGCCCTCACAATAAACTATGAGTAGACACTCTCGTCTCCATTTTGCAAGTGAGGAAACTAGGGGTACCTGGGTGGCTCTGTCAGTTAAGCCTCTGACTCTGGCTCAGGTCCTGATCTCACAGCTCATGAGCCAAAGCCCCATGTTGGGCTCTGTGCTGACAACTCAGAGCCTGGAGCCGGCTTCAGATTCTGTGTCTCTCTTTCTGTTCCTCCTCTACTCACACGGTCTCTTTATCAAAATATATCTCAAAATAAATAAACATTTTTTTTTAATGAGGAAACTAATCAAATTCTTTTGTGTCTTTTTTATAGATATTCATATGATCTTCTAATGTTTATTTCTTCCTTTCTGATCCTTATATGGTTATGTTTCCATAGGATTTGAGTATATATATATTTTTCAGGAAATAATGCTTTATTTCTTAGTTTGCTAAATCACAAATGGATGTTAAATTTTATTGAATGCTTTTACTCTATAAATTGAGATAATGTGCTTTTTCTCCTTAAATTTGCTAATGTGGCTAATTATATTTATAGATTTACTATTGTTAAAAATACTCTTATATTCCTGGAATGCCTGGGTGGCTCAGTTGGTTGAGCTTCTGACTTTGGCTCAGGTCATAATCTCATGGCTGGTGGGTTTGAGCCCCCTGTCAGGCTCTGTGCTGACAGCTCGCAGCCTGGAGCCTGCCTTGAATTCTGTGTCTCCCTCTCTCTCTGCCCCACCACCCACTTGCACTCTGTCTCTGTCTCTCAAAAATAAATAAACGTTAAAAAAAATACTCTTACATTCCTGAGTAAATCTAATTTCAGCATGATTTATTCTATATTTTTAGATATTAATGATTTGGTTGCCAGTGATTTGTACTTGAGATTTCTGCATTTACATTCATCATAAATTGCACCAGAAGTTTGTCAACACTATTAGTCTTTTCAAAGAACCAACTTGAGATTTTGTAAATTTACTTATTGTATCTTGATTTTTCTATTTTAACTATTTTTCATTTGTTTGTTTGTTTATTTATTTATTTATTTGAGAGAGAGAGAGAGCATGTGCATGTGTGCTCAAGTGGGAGCAGGGGAGTAACAGAGAGAGAGGAAGAGAGAATCTCAAGCAGGCCCCATGCCCAGTATGGAGCCAACACAGGGCTTGGCTCAGTCTCAGGGCTGTGAGATCATGACCTGAGCTGAAACCAAGAGGCAGGCTTAACTGACTGAGCCACCCAGGCACCCCTGCTCTTATCTTTATTATCTTCTTTGTCCTCCTTTCTCTGGGTTTATTTTGTCCTTTTACTAATTTTAAGTCTCATGCTAAAGCTATTAATTTCAGCCTTCACTTTTTTTATAATTTATTTTTTAATTTTACATCCAAGTTAGTTAGCATACAGTGCAACAATGATTTTAGGAGCAGATTCCTTAATGCCCCTTACCCATTTAGCCCATCCCCCCTTCCCACAACCCCTCCAGTAACCCTCTGTTTGTTCTTTATATTTAAGAGTCTCTTATGTTTTAGTCCCCCTCCCTGTGTTTATATTATTTTTGTTTCCCTTACCTTATGTTCATCTGTTTTGTTTCTTAAAGTCCTTATATGAGTGAAGCCATATGATATTTGTCTTTCTCTAATTTTGCTTAGCATAATACCCTCTAGTTCCATCCATGTAGTTGCAAAAGGCAAAATTTCATTCTTTTTGACTGCCAAAATATATATACCACATTGTATATATATACCACATCTTCTTTATCCATTCATCCATCAATGGACATTTGGGCTCTTTCCATACTTTGGCTATTGTTGATAGTGCTGCTACAAACATTGGAGTGCATGCGTCCCTTTGAAACAGTATACCTGCATCCCTTGGATAAATACCTAGTAGTGCAATTGCTGGGTTGTAGGGTAGTTCTGTTTTTAACTTTTTGAGGAACCTCCATACTGTTTTCCAGAGTGGCTGCACCAGTTTGCATTCCCATCAGCAGTGCAAAAGAGATCCTATTTCTCTACATCCTCGCCAACATCTGTTGTTGCATGAACTGTTCATTTTAGCCATTCTGACAGGTGTGAGGTGGTATCTCAGTGTGGTTTTAATTTGTATTTCCCTGATGATGAGTGATGTGGAGAATTTTTTCATGGGTCAGTTGGCCATCTAGATGTCTTCTTTGGAGAAGTGTCTATTCATGTCTTTTGCCCATTTCTTCACTGGATTATTTGTTTTCTGGGTGTTGAGTTTGATAAGTTCTTTATAGATTTTGGATGCTAACCCTTTATCTGATATGTCATTTGCAAATATCTTCTCCCATTCTGTCGGTTGCCTTTTAGTTTTGCTGATTGTTTCCTTTGCTGTGCAGAAGCTTTTATTTTGATGAGGTCCCAATAGTTCATTTTTGCTTTCGTTTCCCTTGCCTCTGGAGACATGTTGAGTAAGAAGCTGTTGCAGCTGAGGTCAAAGAGATTTTTGCCTGCTTTTTCCTCAAGGATTTTGATGGCTTCCTGTCTTACTTTAGGTCTTTCATCCATTCTGAGTTTGTTTTTGTGTATGGTATAAGAAAGTGGTCCAGGTTCATTTTTCTGCACGTCTCTGTCCAGTTTCCCAACACCATTTGCTGAAGAGACTATCTTTATTTCATTGGATATTCTTTCCTGCTTTGTCAAAGATTAGTTGGCCATACATTTTTGGGTCCATTTGTGGGTTCTCTACTCTGTTCCACTGATCTGAGTGTCTGTTTTTGTGCCAGTACCATACTGTCTTGATGATTACAACTTTGTAATACAGCTTGAAGTCCGGGATTGTGATGCCTCCAGCTTTGGTTTTCTTTTTAAGATTGATTGCTTTGGCTATTCAGGGTCTTTTCTGGTTCCATGAAAATTTTAGGGTTGTTTGTTCTAGCTCTGTGAAGAATGCTGGAGTTAGTTTGATAGGGATTGCTAGCCTCACACTTAATATAAAAGTATAAGAGTTTCTTTTTATTGTAATCACTGCTATTTTTGCTGCATTTCATAAGTTTGGACTCATGATATTTTCATTACCAATTACTGATAAATTTTAAAATTTCCCTGACTTTTTATATGGAGTTTTTTCTTCTATATGCCGTTTTTCTTTTTCCA